ACACATACACACACACACACCCCAAAATGCTGCTGTCTAGACTACAGAGGCATATGTAGACATGGCTAACATTGATTACAGTTAAAGAAATCACATGAAGGCTATACTGTGCTCACTTAGAACCAAAGCCAAAGCATCTACCTACCCAACATCCTACACTACACACCTGAACAAAAAATTCCTTTCCTATGAAAGCTACTCCTTACAACTTGAAAAGATTCCTGTTACACTGGAAATGCAGACATATAAGTAAAATCACAAAAAGCAAGAAAGAATGTTAGGGTTTGTAAACAAGTCAAGATGGTGCCAGCGAGCCATTAAGTGTGGAGATTTCTTATTGGTTGACTGCTGTATCTAGTTTATGCTAATTAAGATAAGCTGTGTATTCWGTAATATATATACCCCTCTGCTCCTACAATAAACGGCTCCCTCTCCTGCTGTATCAATGTACACAAGTTGTTCGTCACCCCTGGTTATTTTGCTGCACCCGGACTGCGGCAAAAGAATGATACTGCCAAAGCAACACAATAATTCTCCATAAACAGATACTCATGAGAAAGAAGGACAACTATGAAATACCTGGAAAGGAATTCAAAAGAACAATTCTAAGTAAAAATTCAGTGATATGCAAGAGAATACAGATAAACAAATGAACAAAGTGAAGACAATAATTCATGATATAAATGAGAAATTTGACCAAGATAAATAATAAAAAGGAGGCAAACAGTATTTCTGTTTAATCAATGAAATAAATACAATTGAGAACTTCAACAAAAAATAGAACCAAGCAGAACAAAGACTTATAAGCTTTTGGACAGATATTTTGAAATAACCCGTTCAGACAAAAAGAAAAAAATAAATGAAAAGAATGAAAAAAAGTCTTAAAAGCTTAAAGGACATTGTTGAACAAAGAAATATTCATCTTATGAGAGTTCTGAAAGGAGATAAGAAAAGACATTAAATACAGGAAAATCCAAGTTATTAAAATAGCTGAAAATAAGTCCTGAAAGACATATGGATATCCAGATTCAGGAATTTCAAATGATCCCAAGTATACTCAATCAAGAAAGACCTCCAGGGCCTATTAMAAAGTGAAAAATCAAAGATAAAGATAGAATTCTAAAAACAACAAGAGAAAAGTGACAAGTCACGACTACAGCAATCTCATTAGACAAAATCAGATTTCCCATCAGAAACCTTACAGGCCAGAAGATATTGGGATGATATATTCAAAGTCCTAAAAGAAAACAAAAACTGATTAAGAAGAAATAAAGTCTTGGGTTTAATAATGAGCATCAAAATACTTTTAGGAGAAATTACTTCTGGTGTTCTATAGTCTAGAAGGGAAACCACAGTCTCAAACAATCTATGATATACTTAAAAACAGCTAGAAAAGTTTGAAGTTTCTCAACAAATAGGAATAATAAATGTTTGAGGAGATGAAAATGCTAATTATTCTGATTTCCATCATTAGACACTAGATACATATACAGACTTAGCATGCCCATAGGGTAAGTTAAAGTTACCATACTTTAACTTACCCTATGGGCATGGTAATGGTGTTGTCTCTGACAGTTAACGTTTCTGGTTACATGATAAGATTTCATAACAACTGCCTTCCTTCTGGGAAGGCAACCTCAGAGAAAGTCACCCTGTGCTTCTGGGAAGAAAGGACCAAAGACATTGAGGGACACAGCAGGTGTAGGGTAAAGAAGGCAAGAAGGTCAGAGAAACCTTAGTTCTGAGACTTCCTCTGGATCAGCACGTCAAAGCACAGCTTGGGGTATCATTTTTCTGAGCCCCAACACATTCATTTAAGAAGATATACACCTTTAGGAAATGTACCTTCAGGAGTCTATGATAACAGGCAAGATGGAACAGGAACATGTTACACTGGAGAGAGGGACCATGGAAAGAACAATCTAATCCAGGTCCCACTGTTCACTAGCTAGGGAAACACAGTGAGGTTTTTCCAACTCTATGATTATCGTTGTGTTTATCTTTAAAATAAAAAGGTAATGTTTTGAAGGCTTGTAAAAATTAAATGGAAGTGTTTATCTCTAGGGCCTATCAATGTCTGGCATCTAATGGGTGCTCAGCAGTCAATTACTGCTTAATAGCAATCAAAAATTACAAGTATAAGTAAAAATAACAAGAAAATAATCAGTGAATAATGGAGAAGTAGTATATTAAGGAAAATGAACATATAGTTCACAGAAAGAAAGGATCAGGCATGAAGTATGGAGTCAAGAATCAGGAAGTAACTTGGCTGAACATTAAAATCAAAGGAGATAAAAGATCTGCCAGAAAGAAAGAAAATTATAAATAAAGGTTTGGGAGCCTGAGAAGCTTGAGATTACTGGTGACTCAGGCAGAATTATATAAAATGAGGTCAAAGTTTTGGAAAGAAAGTAAAAGGAAGACAGATTACTTGCTCAGCATTAGGTGAAGAGATAGCCTGACACCCTGGTTAGTCTGGGCCTAAACACATTTTAAGTGTTGTCAGTAAAGGAAATAATGACTCATTTTTATACCCATGAACAATCATAAAACTTTAAAAAGTCAGGCCTAATGAAAGAATTTATATCCACCTTAAAGGTATTTAGTAGGTTTTTCCTTTAAAGTTATACTATACTAGTGAGAAGATTCTACTAAAATATATTCATGAATAGGCAAAACCATGAAATATTATAATTTCAACACTTGATCCATCTTTATTTATATCTATCAAAAATATATAAAGTACATATACCTATTACACAAATGACCAAAAATAACCTAGAAAAAAAGCAATCATTTTAATAAATTATGACACAATCAATTTGTAAAGAAAATGACTTAAAACACATTTTAAACATAATAAAGATATAAATAGTTTCCCTTGAATACTGTTACTTTTGAAAAACAAATTTTTAAAAAACCTGAATGTTTTCAATAACTTTAAAAACTTTTCAAAGTCAATAAAAATGCATACAAAATGAAAATACTATTCCCCAGCTCCCTAAAAGAACTAGCAATAAAAAAGAGAAAATATCAAAAATTAAAAGGAAAAAATTAGAAAAATTAACAAATGGGATCAATAAAAACAAAGATATTCTATGATAAAATTATATATTTCTAACAGGTACTAAAATTATGGCTTTCAAGATTGTTTTGAAAAAACTGAAAATCATGGAAATCTTATATTCCTGTCTGCTCAATGAAGCTCAAAAATGTTAAAAACATGCTATTTTAATCACTCCACACTGTACCTAACATACTGACAATTTAAATCTATTAAAAAATGTTTCTCTTCTCACTTCAGTTTACTTCTGTCCTCAAATCTGTAGTTTTTCACAAATTTTAGAAGGAAAACAAAAAGAAAATGTTAGTTTGTAAAGATGAATAAGTATTTAAATGTGGTAAAATTCATGCAAAATTATATTTTTAACCTTCTTTCCTATACTATAAACTCAAAATCAATTCCTATTACAAAAAAATCCTATAATCATAATAAATCATTAATTTTGTCTTTCAAACTAATTTTTCTGTTTTAAGTAAAGTTGAACAAATTGAACATGTATATATATGCCTTATTAGAGAGTAGATAACTGTTTTCTAGTCTTGCAAAGAGTGAGATCCTAACAACAATATTTAAGGCTCTCCCATATGAGCTCTGTATGTTATGTATGATACTATGAGTTCTATAAATGCATACATTTAAAGCATTAGCATGTGCTATGGTTTAGATAAGTGTCCCCGAAAGCCCCACATGTTAAGGCTTGGTCTTTCAGCCAGTGGAGCTATTGGGAGATGGTGAAATCTTTTAAGACACAGAGTCTAAGGAGAGGTCTTCCATTTGTTGAGTATGTACTCCTGAAGAGGATGTTGAGATCCTGGACCCTTTCTCCTTAATTTTTGTGTCCCAGCCATGAAGTAAGGATAAGGAGCTTTGCACCTGCTCCCTGAAAAAGCGAGCTGACTTCCCAAAGCTCAAAAACAATGAGGCCAATGGACCATGCACTGAAACATCCAAAACTGTGAGTTAAAAATAAAGCCTTCCCTTTTATAAGTTGATTACCACAGGTATTTTGTTACAGCTAACATAAAGCTAACAGAGCATGTAAAATGGACATACACATTTACTTAGAGACAGCAGCCAATATGCTCATGCATTTAAGACTCTTCCAATAACTCAATAACCCTTGAACACATTCACATATGTTTAGTACTTCCTACTTTACAATAGGGATTTACAAACCAACCCTGAAAGATAGAGAAACTATAAGAATTCTCATTCTACAAATAAGATCAAAGTCTAGTGAGTAAGGGTACTACAGTTTAGTAAACTTCCTAATAAACAGCAGGTCTTTGTATTACTTTTACTAATTCTATGTTTTTATCCTTTGAAATATATTTCTCTGGTCATGGAACAGTAGTATAATCATTTTTATAAATCAACTTAACATACCTTAATCAATAATGCAGATTAGACCACCTAAAAACTTGGCTATAATTCTACACAATAACCATTTTTTGAATGTGAAATTAACAGCAAAATTAGCCAAAATACACTAAATAGATAAGCCCACTTTAGAAAAGTGTTACACATTAGGCAAACAATTAAGTTTCCAAATATTGCAAAAATTTTTAGTTTTAACTTCTTAAACTTTCACATTGTACTTGTCATATTTAAATTCATTAAATTTGATTGATGAATTTCTTAATAATTTTAACAAGATCAGATAAGTGCTTTATGTTTGAACACAATTAATTAGTTAAGAGGTAAGTGTTCCATTTTTAGAATTTTAATAAGGTGATATGCAAAAGAATGTGGGAAGTATTAACTAAAGTTTACCAAAAAACACAGAAAGCYAAGGAATTGGAGATGTTTTATAGTATATTATGTTGGATTTTATAAGATAGTCATGATACTTTTTAAGGTGTGATATTAAAATGATGTTTCTTTCTTTTGCCTCATTCCAMAGAACTATACAATAGTGATGAAATAAAATGCTTACAGGTTTGTATCTCAGAGCATCTCTGTAGGATCCAAACAAAGCAGCCTGTGCCCTAAGAAAGGCCCTAGCTAGTCCATCACCGGTAGCTGTAGACTGTTTCTTCAGTTTATTTTTCAAGGCCGAGACCTGCATGACAGAGAAGAACAGTTAAATTAACACCTCAGAAATTGGTACAGCGAGGTACGAACCCAATCAGCAGGCAAACCACAGTGTCTGCAGGTCAGCCAAAAATTCATCCTTCTTCCTGATAGCTTATCTTTTTAACTGCAGCGAGCACCTGCTGGTCTGTTAATTGAAACCAAAGCAGGAGTGAATAGTAACGTGCTAATGCAAATYGGTTTATGCTCTCTTTTTTTTTTCCCAAGGCCTCTTGACATAAATAAGCTTTAATTATTTTACAGTAAACTGCTTGTGAGCCACTTTTCTGCAGATTTTTAACAATTACAACATGTGTCCACTTGTTTTGAGTTGAAGCTCATTGAACATAGCTCATTTCTGCTATGGAAGGTTTTTGTTGTGGGTTCTTCAGGATCACTTAGAATTTTATTTTACTTTTGGAAGCTTCATTTGCATATGTAATTTTCCAGTCATTTGTTGATATGTTTTGTCATTATTAGAAAAAAAAGAGGGAAGAGATAAACTTATTGAGACTGTATCATGAGTGGAGAATTATGTTCTGCAAATGTTACATACTGTCTCATTTAATATTCACAATAGTCTTCTAAGAAAAGAATTCATATCCCATTTATGAATGAAGAGATAAGAAGTGCAAAGACATGAATTAACCTGCCCTCACTATGTAGCTAATAAGAGGAAAATATATGATATACACTTACTTTCTAGTTTTCAGACTACCACATGCTGGCCTTAAGTTCAATGTCACTATATCATAAACCAGTAATCAAAAAAGTACTAATGTTTTTAAATTAAGAAAGATTCATCTAGGAATTTGTATGATTTTAAAAGTCACATAMATGTGTTATCATTTTTCAGACATATTCCATCCTTTAATTTCAAGTGCTACGCACTTTAGAGAACAATATTATCAGATTAATGTTTAAGTGAGTGCTACTCCTGATGTAAACTCATTTTTTTGAGAGGAGATATGTAACGTGCTCCTATGCATCAAATTCACTTCAATAATTTCTTTCACATAAAATGGAAAACTATAGTCTTTATATTTAAAAATATTGATCCTCATACACAACCCCCATCAATGCTTAAAACAGAAACGTGAAACTATGTAACAATTCTGTTTTCTTAATAAAAACTGAGACAAATTCCAATTGGATCCCTCCCTTAACAGAGCATGTTCTTACTGTATGAAACTACCAGATAATAAAATAAAGTCATTTATCCTTTACACATATATGCAAAAAGGAATATTTTTATTTCCTTATGCAAGTAGTCCTGACTAGTCTTGTAGATGATGATTGTAATTGAAGTGTCAACCTAATTAACAACTAAACTTTGAATAATGCTAATGAGAAATGAGCACAGCATCAGAGGAAAGAGCAGCTCTACAGGTGATAAACCTGCACAGTGGTGACATTTTCCAGTGTGAAGTCACAGTTGCTGTGATCTGATCAAAGAAACAGACCCCCATTGGGTCCAATTATAACCATAGTTTTGAAAAAATTATTGAGTTATGATGTTCATAATCTATGCAGAAAGGCCTTTGCAGTATAGGTCTTCTCCCCATAGCTGTGATCTTTTCAATTTATATCGAAGCTCCATAGATTCAGATAAAAGTTTAGAGCCTAATTCATTTAGCCCACAAAGTGCATATACCAGGATTCATTTAAGAAKGAATTTTTATATTAAAATCTAACCTCAATAAATGAACATTTTTAGGTAATCCACATATCCAAACAATAATACAGTTGAAGGATAAAAAAATAAATCTTCTGTCTTAATGCTCTTTATTCTAGTTTGAATAATATTATTTTTTTTCTAAGTTTCAAATGGTTTTAAAATACAAAACAATAGAAATGAATATCAGKGCACATATTTAATTACTATCCCCAAAATATATTATGATGGAAGGAAAAAAATGTTCTCAATTTTTAGAAATATTATTTAACCTAAATAGGTTGGGGAATTTTTAACTTTTGCTTTTAAAAATTAAAAACAAATAACTCATGCTTTATATGTGTGCAAAAAAGTGTACTTTTTAATAAAATAGGAAATTGACAATTTAGCTCTCTATAAATCAAGCACACATTATTCTTTGAATAAGCATATACTTTTGCTCACAGGCAATGGAATCAAGTGTACCCACCCCTCTGGTTTTACTCCATTATGCCCTTGACTGCATGACTGTTGCTTGAGCTATCCAGGAGTATCAATCTCACAATCCCTTCCTGACCAAATCATAAACTTTAACCTTTACTTCTAGTTACCCAGTCATAGTTTCTGAGCTTTGTATGAATGTATAGAAAATGAAAAGAAAATATGTGTTCTAGAACTGCACTGTCCAAATGAAATGTCATTCATCCAAACTGAGATTTACTCTAAGTGTAAAATAGAAACTATTTCATGAATAATTTTTATATTGATTATATTTTGAAACAGTATTGTAAGTATGGGATAAATAAAATATATCACTAAAATTAATTTCATCACATTCTTTGGAATTTTAATGAGATTAAAAATTTTAAATTACATATGTGGCTCACATTATATTCCTATTGGATTTCTATTGGACAGCGCTTATTCTTCATGAGCATACCATCTAATTTCCTACAAATATGTGAGATTGAAAATAGCAATAAATATGGTTCCCTTTTTCCTGTGCTATTTATATATTATTTCAACTTTTACAAACTACATCAACATAAACCAGAAGATTTCAACTGTTAGTGCCTATAGATCTGAGGTTGTTCCTGTTTTTCAGAGACCAGAAAAGCAGCTGAATTAACTGCTTTTATATGAGACAATGAATGCTCAAAAATAGTCTGTAAAACTGAAATTGTTTTTAAAAATCAATTTTAGATACAAGGACATCAATCTCACATAAAATGATTATGTCAACTTTACTGTTTTCTCTTCCTTTAGGTCACTGGAGTAAATTATCACCCATTACCATTGCCCTTTGCAGCACTAATTAGCTTTTAGCAGTTTTTATCTATAAAAGGATGGTGTTTTTTCTGCACTTTTTCAATATGTGGTCTGAGAAATGACATTTTATGATTTAATTTCCAAACYTGTACATTTAGTTGGGAAAAAACTGTGTATGTTCCCATGAATTCTATATACTTGAATATAACTCAGAATTTAGAAAAACATTTGAAATCTTAGTCATATGGCTATTATCACATAATCCTATTAATAATGAAAAAGTATCAATTGTCTTGTTTTATTATTTTTGAAGTTAAGTTACTTGGGGCATGCACTTGAAAGATACTCAGGCTCTAGCCTTTTCCTGACTCTTCATCATAAAGCTACCATGAGGGAAGCCATTTCCTCTGCTACTTGCTCCTATCGAGACTGAAACTTCGGAAATCATGAGCTAAAATAAACATTTCCTCTTATAAGTTGTTTATCTCATGTATTTTGTTACAGTGCTGGAGAGCTAACTAACACACCACTTCAAACTCAAGGTCATAACAGTGTCAATTTCATTTATTCTGTTGTTCTCAAAGGAACTTTTTAGGTCCTCCTCAGCATTTTACCCTTTCTCATCCCCATATGCAATACTTCACCAAGGCTTGTCAATTCTACCTCTGGTATACTTTTCAAAGTCTGTCCACTTTTCTCTAAATCCTTGTATTACCAGATTCAAGTAACTATTATCATCTTTCACCCTGACCACTGCAAATGTTTTTCACAGATCTATCTGCTTTATTTCTTAAACTCACAGTGACCTTCCAGACCCAGAACCCAAAATGATATTTTTTAACTTCAAATAGATGACACTATTCCTCTGTTAAAAACTGTCACTGAATTTTCAATAAAGTCCAAAGGTCTATTAAAGAACCATAGTGTCTTCTGATCACTCCTGTCTATCTCTACCATCTCCTTTTGCATAACTCTTTTACTCATCACACAACCTAGAGGGCTTCTTTCTATTTCTTGAATTTGCCAACCTCTTCACCATGGCCCAACTTTTGTAAATGTTTTTCCTCTTCCTCCTTTGCTTGTCTGTCTGACTCATACCCACTATTCAGRCTACTTCTGAAGAAAGATAATCCTGACACACTGAGCTTAGCTGTACCACAAACACTGTGGACTAGTAAGAATAATACGTCAGTTCAGCTAAATTATTTTCACTTTAGTTTGCTGGTAGCAGAAATGGGGCTGTCAGTACACAAACATTTACTCTTCTTTTCTTTGGTAATGTAAGTCTTAAGTTTTAAATATTACATAGTTAAGACCCAGCTATTTCTCAACATCCCTTGGTGTGGCCATATGGCTGGATTCTAACAAAAGGGATGTGAACTGAGGAATGTGACACTTTCAGGCTATGCCCTAAAAGGGGTATGAGTGCCCTTCCCTGGATTTCCCCTTTTATTTGAGGGCAAAGAGTAGTGGAACAGCTACCTTAACCCTGTAGATGAATGCCATGTGTGAAGGATAGCAGACACCCCACAGCTCTGAACAACTTTCCTCTTAATTATTACACAACAGAGAAAAAAACTTGTATTTTTATCTAGAAAAGGGTGTTTAGAGGTCTCTATTACAGCAGCTTAGTCTGTACTCTAATAAATATGTCATCTAAAGAAGAGACAAAGAGTACAAAAGGATATGTGACAGATATGAAATAAGAATATAGACCAAGCCTCTGACTGCTTACATAGTTTCTCAAACAGGTGCTGCTGAAATCCCACCCTCAATGCAACTGGTACAGCATCAGGGGGTTGTCATGCTTTAACAAAAAAACAAACTTCAGGCTTACAGTCTTTACTGCTGTGGTATACAAGGAGAACATCTGAGCTCTCAAGAGCATGTACATTACCACAAAAGACTTGCTACACAACAATTGCAAACGATTTTCTCTGTATCAATGAGCCTAGAACAGATCCTGTCTACCAATCTCACACGTAATCTAAATTAGAATCTCCTCGTTTTTCTCTTCTACTGCATTTTTTCCTTTCTTTTATAACATTTGACGCAACTTGTAATAC